GTGAGAGAGAGAGAGAGAGAGAGAGAGAGAGAGAGAGAGGGAAAGAGCAGTCAATAGAATGGTTTTAGGTTTAAGTTTTTCTCTGCTTAGAGATAAAAGTTTGAATCAAAAGTGAATATGTTTTTTGTTTGACATTTGTGTTATTTTTTAAATTGACTTTTTTGTGCAAAACAGTCAAATAATTTCACTTTTTGTGGCATTTTATTGACTTGTGTTTATGTCTCTATATGCAATTCTCTTTTTTACAGTGATAAGGCAATAATAAGGAAACTCAGCTAAAACTTTTAGCAATGTCATCTCATTATCACTTTATAAGGTCTTTATCCTAGGTTGGAGAGGTTAAAGAAAGTAATTGAAGACTAGATTTAGAGTTACGAAGTGCTGTCATCTTCTCTTGGTTATAAAGGGTACTAATTCAAAATTATATTTAAGTTGGGCTTTGAATAAAGTAAGGAAAATTTGGCACCAACAACAAGCAGGCAGAGACCCAAATAAAAAGCACAATTCCATTCACAATAGCCACAAAAGAACAACAACAAAAAAACACAAAGGAATACCTCGGCATCTTCCTAACCAGAGAAGTGAAAGACCTTTACAATGAGAACTACAAAACACTGCTCAAAGAAATCCAAGAAGACACAAACAAATGGAAAAATATTCCATGCTCATGGATAGGAAGAATCAACATTGTTAAAATGTCCATCCTACCAAAGGCAATCTGCAGGTTCCATCTGCATGGGATTGGCAGTTGAAGGAAATTGCTGGGGAGGAAGGAGCATATCTCATCAACGAGGAGGGTACCTGCATAATCAACGTTTGTATACCTAACCCTGAATTGTACTCTCCAACTTTAAAATAAAAACAAACAAATAAATAAATGAAGTTGGAAACTCTTGGGGGAAAAAGAAGAAAATTTGAGAAAATGCAAGACGATACAACAATATTTGAAAAATTGATTTGAAAGTCAAAATGCATTATACTTGTAATTTACTCTCAAATGCACTCCAGCCTGGGTAACAGAGTGAGATCCTGTCTGAAAAACAAAAACAAAGACAAAGATAGATATGGAAAGAATGATTAGTAAAACGTGTGATATAATGTTAATATTTGAGAAGTCTGAGTGAGGGCTATATAGGAACTATCTAAAATGTTTTTGCAACTGTTTATGAGACAAATTATTATCTAACATCAATTTTTTTCTGCTTTCTCCTTGGTCTCTGTCTTTTTTAGCATGCTTCTGCAATCACTGACATCTTTGGCATTCAGCTTTCATTTATTTCTTCTTTCTTTATCCTTACCTGCTGCTCATTTTAGAAGTTTTTACTTCCTGACTATAATATCTTGTTATTTCAATATAGGAAATGTATCTTTGTTTTTCCTAAATTTATCTCTTCTCCTATGTATTCCTCTTCTTTCTGTTCTCTTCTATTTCTTACAGTCTGTCAACTTTTTCTTTACTTCACTTAATTGGTTATCCTTTGGCAATTTGTTACTTTGCATTTTTCTACTTGTTCTTTCTGGGAACAAATGCCTTGATGATATCTTTCTAGAATATTCCAGTTGAGCAATTAGTATATCTAGCATATTATATGTATTTGACCTCGTTAGTTCTAGCATAGTCCTTATTACATTGTATCCAAATCATTAGATCAGTTTGCCATCCTTACTGTATTCCAGATTCCTTGAATGGAGTGTTTCTTACTAGTTTTTGTTTTCCCAATATGGAAAGACATATCACACTGTAGGTTTTTCATGAATGACCAGTAAATCAATGAATAAATAAATTTGTAAGAGAAATCAAAATTTTTAATGCAATTGATTGAATACTTACATAGAATAATACAGGATGGCTAAGAAGAAGACCATTAAGAGCCTACAGAAGATTTAAATAATTTACTGAAATCATATTTGCCAAAACAGTTGATTTTAAAAAAACAGGCAGGCAGAAAAATTTTATAAATTAGCCTTGTTGACACCAAAGTAAACTCTCAGGTTGGGCATGGTGGCATGCATCTGTAGTCCCAGCTACTTGAAACTCTGGGGTGAAAGGATTGCTTGAGTTCAGGAGTTTGATGCCACCCTGGGCAACATAGTGAGACCCCCATCTTTAAAACAAAAATCTCAAAAACAAAAAACAAAAAAGTCTCAGTAGATGAGTATGGATAGTCTGATTTGCAGTGCAGGCTCCAAATGCCTGATGAACAGTCTGAATTAGGAATCTAAAAGCTTTTATTACTGAAAAAAATCAGAACGAGTGAAAGCCAAACCACATATTATGGTTTCTTTAAAACTATTAAACATTTAAAACTAAATTGTAAAATTAGCCAGACATGGTGGTGCATGCCTATAGTCCCAAATACTCAGGAGACTAAAGGGGGAAGATTACTTGAGCTATTGTAAGCTGTGATTGTACTACTGCATTCCAGCCTGGGTAATAGAGTGAGATGCTGTCTGAAAAAACAAAAACAAAGTTAAATTGTAGAATGAAAATCTAGAGTATGTTAGAAATTGATTAGTTTATTTTATTAATACTTCAAGAGGTTATAATTACTAAGATCCAGGAGAGATCAACAAAGAATCCTCCTTTTGGGAAACTCTCACATCTGCTCCAGCTATGGAGAAGATAGTGTGGTCACAGATGAAATAACAGTGATTTACCAAGAGTTCAAGAGATGACAAAATTTGACACTGGTTAAAGCTGAAGAAAATAAGCTATAAAACTAGTTCACAAATAGCAAGTAAAGATATCAGGGATGGAGTAGACACTAGAAAGTTAGGAATAAAAAACTGAAAGGAAAAAGGCACTGAACTGGACATAGAGGTGAAAATATGGGACAAGTTGTAGATAATGGTAAATTTGCCTCAAACAGGTCAAAGAGTTGGGATGTAAGAGTCTGAAACACTTCATGTGGTACTGTTATGGGCGCCTGGGGGCTTTTGTAGGTGGCTGTGCTCCATGACCCATTCATTTTCCTTTTGAAGAATCTTTGTGCCTCATAAACTGAAGAATAGTGTGGACTCTAATAGTAGTTGTTTTTTTCAATATGTCCCTAAGATAAATTTTTGTTATTTAGCTGTTTGTTTTGTTGTTTGGTTGTCTGTTTGTTTGGAGTCGGAGTCTCACTCTCACCCGGTCTGGAGTGAAGTGGCATGATCATGGCTTACTGCAGTCTTGACCTACTGGGCTCAGATGTGATTCCTTTGCCTTCACTTCCTGAGTAGGTGGGATATAGGTGTACACCATCATGCCTGGCTTATTTATTTTTTTGTTTGTTTAGTGTGTGTGTGTGTGTGTGTGTGTGTGTGTGTGTGTGTGTGTGTGTAGAGAGAGAGAGACAAGTTCTTGCTGTGTTGCCCAGGATAGTCTCAAACTCCTGGCCTTCAGCGAGAGTATGTGCTTGAGCCACCGCACTCAACCTTATTTTGCTTTCAGTAACTGTGATTCTTTTTCTTGAGTTACTTGCAAAGCTTTATGTTAGTGTTAGAAAGCATGGTCTGTTAATGATATAGATGATTCCCTTAGTGTCCATTTATAAAATTTTCTCATTCAAATTTTGAGGGTTCCATTCTACAACTACCTGCCTATTATAGAAAAGTAGCATAGTCAACATCTAAAGCAAACCAAGTAAGTTTTGAGATTTCTGTTCCTAAAATTGTTAAAGTTTAAATTAAAATAGACTATAACTTTAAAATGTTATAGCTATCTTACTCTATGTAACTATAATAACACATTCTCATTCTTGCCCTCAAAGTGAAATCAAGAGTAAGTTACCCAAAACAAATTATTTCTGATCTAGCTTCCAGCTACCAATAAAAATAGTGTCCAGAATTTGGAGTTTCCAATTGGCTATACCTAATTTTAGCATATACACAAGCAGATAATTTTTTTTAAAGTATGAATATTTTTGTGAGCGGTACCTTGTTTATAAGGTAACTTTCAATTTTTAAAAAAAAATTTTTAAACTACTTTGTTTGGTCTCAAAAGAATTTTAAGTTTGGCAGATTCAAGAAGGTATTACCAAAAGTCAGGTGAGATTCACCTGCTTTCTTTAAGTTCAAAAAGTATTTTTGTTGGAAATAATAAAGTACTAGGTACAATCAGTATTTGTGCTGTTGACCACATTCCTTAGTGAACAGTTTGCTTTATATATGTGTTTGTCATTTTCTTCCCAAAGCTTTACTGTATCATTAAATATTCACTATTCCTTTGAAATAGCCATTATTTGCTAGCCGTAGCTTATGATAATTTTTGTGAGATAGGCATTGGGAAGTAGATTCTCTAATGTATAATGCATATCTGATAAAATGGAGGTTGGAAATAATTATTCTTATTTTGTGTCCATTTCAATATTATAATGATGATACAAAAATAATAGGTAACATTCATTGATGTGTCGCAAATAGGCCACGTACTTTACACGCATTAACTTAGGTAGTCCGTATAATAACTATTATATTCCCATTTTACAGACAAGAAACTGAGGCCTGGATTGGTTTAGTGACTTGCCCAAAGTTATCCACTTGACAAAGCTGGAATTCTAACCCATGCAGTCTGATTGGCACTTCACTAGTCATTGACTTATTGTATACTATTCTGAGAAATCTAGAAAAAGTAATCTAGAAAACACCTCCAAAGCAATGGTTTTCAGCCTTGGCTGTATGCTAGAATCATTTGAGAACTTCAAAAATACAGACTAGATCCCACTCCCAGACATCTTTGAAGCTCTGAGGAATTTTTAAAAGCTTGTCAGTTTATTCCAATGTGCAGCCAAAGTTGTTACCTACTATCCTAAATGTCTTTTGAAAATGGAAATGGAAATATTAAGGGTAAAAACCACACTGTACGTGCTTGTCTGATTTCAGTAAGTTAGACTATTGAATATATGTTTAAAGCTGTGAGATGATTTATATTCACAAAAAAATTCATGCAATTGAATGATTTAATATGTAGCTATGGTGTTTCATATAACATGTCTTGTTGTTTGTTTGTTTAAATACAGATATAGCCCACAGTTATCTTGAACAAGAGACTACAGGGAAAAATAAAAGTACACAGCCAGATGAACAACTGAACATGAATTCTGAGGGAAGTTTGCATCAGAAATCTACTGAATTAATTAATGAAGTCACATATGAGGGCACAGAACGGCTAGGGCAGATGTCAAGGAATTTTCAGGTCATTGGTCCTTATCCAGACGTCGGTTCTTATCCAGATAATCAGACAGTTTACTGCTCTACTGAAAAATCCAAGTGAGTACTCATAATGTTAGATTTAGAAAGTAAGACTTCGGAGAACTTTTTCTTTTGTTCTCCCTTCTTCCCTTTCTGCATTTTCTTTTTGGTGTGAGCTGGGGTTCTGCTGTTTTTATGATATAGTTATAATGTGTCTAGATAGCTAAGTGAAAGAACACAAGGTAAATTTGAAGGAAGGTAGTGAGGTTTTATTTTTTCTGATTTAGTATTATTTCTGTGACCTTTTATTATGGAAATGAAAATAACTGTTAAGGTGATATAAGTGGGATATCATTCATCAGAGCCAAATATTGGCAACCTCAAGTTAAGCCCAAAGATGCATTTGGTTTTGGTTAGTATTGTTTTTCATTTAAATGAATTTGAGTGCTTCTAGGAGGACCAGGTGCTCTACCATTTTCTTTCTTTATTATTTTACGTTCTGCAGCTTTTAACCATTCATCTTGCCTACCTAGCTCCTGAAGACATTTGAGTTTGTAATACCTGACACTTTTATCTGTAAGATTAACGTACTTTGATAATTAGTTGCATACTGTGAAAATATTGTTTGATTTAGAAAGTTTCAGTGACTAACATAATTTTATGTCTAAATAAAATGATATTTTATAGAATACTGTTATAACAGAGTTTTGTGTTGAAACTGTTTTTCTACTTACTTGCAAATTGTTCAATAGATATATTAATAATATTAACATATATTGAAGTAGTTATATTGATATGTTTCTTTCCCTTAACAGTCAGATTCTTACTAAGTTGCAGATTGGAGTACATTTTAGGGGGTAGAGATATGGTTGAATGAGGTGGGGATCAATCATTTTTATCACCACATGGGGAAAGTAAATAGTAGGTCTTAGACTAAAGCCAATTTATGAGATATCTAGTATAATTACAATGGGCGATATACATGGTAAGTGGAGCTGCACTGTCTCAGATTTCACTGCTTAACTTCTTCTTAGTGAATCCAAGATTTACCTATGCTTATAAATTTAATATAATGCTTTCAAAAAACAGCTCATCTCCCTTCCCTTCCTTTAGACTACTTGCTGACAAGTTACTGTCCTTAAATAGCATACAAAATATCAAAAAATTTCATTTATTTTACCATAAAATGTTACAGTTTTAAAAAATATTAATAGTTTTTTTTATTGCAGCAATATGGAACATGGAAATAATGATTTACCTTATGAAAGTAGGATTCCTTGTCAAGCCACTTTAGACTTAAATAAGGAGAAGACAATAGCGTTTCTTCTAAAAGAATTGGATATTCTCAGAACAAGCAATAAAAAGGTATATTATAGAAAGTCTGATAACTGTCTATTATACTTTTAGATGTTGACCTTCTAAATTTGCTTTATTGCCCATCATAATTCAGTTTTATTGTGTACTTTAATCTTTTAACAATAGCTGTATGTTGTTACCATATATTTGCTGTTAGGGTATAGCTGAGTTAAGGGATTGGCTCAGAAAAAAATTTTTTTGGTTTCCTACCTTGCCAGGCTGTGATAGCACTTTTTTTCCATAAACCCCTGATACCTCATGTAGGTAACTTAAAAAAAGAAGTCATTTAAGTTTGACTGTAATGAAACTTTACTTCAGTATTCTAGAGAATGAGAGATACTATGTCCTGATTTTATGTTACTTTCCTAAGTTTGTTAAAATTAATATCTGTGGCTTGTATTTAACCTCAATAACACATGTAATTAAACATTAAAGTACCACGGCTTATCAATATTGTCATTTACCTTGTATTATCTTGTTTGTTGCATTTTGTCCAATCCAATTTGTCATGTCATGTTTTATCTTCTTTTCTGACTCTTAGTCTCATTATATTCCTGTGAACACTAAATACTGTTATTAAATAATGTTCATTTTTCCATGCCTTCTTTTTTTTAACCTCTAAGTACTTTTCTAATTTTAGTATTCTTGTTGTTTGACCTAATCAAACTGAAGCATGATGTTAGGAATGTTGATTATATCTGAAGGAAAACAATGCAAACGACAAAAACCTAGGAGGAATTAAAAAAACATTTGCAGGGATTCTGTGTGAGAGATGTTTTCTGTACTTTCATTTAGTGGTTATTTATTACATGCCAACTATGAGTCATGTGCCAGGGCCAATTTTAATGGAATATGATGATCTAGCATGCTGAAAGGGAGATTTGTATCAGATATTAAGATTATTTTGTTAATTAATTTTGTTTCAAAATATTTGGAGTTACTAAGACAAGTTATAAAGTTGCACTATTATTTTATTAGGGGAATCTTTTCCACATCTTTTGCTTTAAAACTAAAGAATGGATGAGATTGCTTTTGTAGTAGTTATTTTTAATAGTAATCTTGTTCCTCTCAATTACATTTGCCTGTACCCAGGTACATACACAGAAATTAGGTATATGTTGGAATGTTTTTATAATTTCTATATTATTACAGATAAGTATTACTTTATAAATTATCTTACATCCTTAATTCTTTTTCTAGAGTATGTATTTAGGCAGTTAAATGTAATATTATATAAGTGTTAAGGACAGAAAACAAAATTTTACTTTGGAATTAATTATATTTGTGTAAGACATTTGTCTGATAGAAACCTGTTTTTTTTCTCCAATGTATTTTAGCTTCAAGAGAAATTAACTAAAGAAGATAAAGAACAGAGAAAGCTAAAGTTTAAGCTGGAACTCCAAGAGAAAGCAACAGAAGCTAAAATTGCTGAAAAGATAGCAGGTAGAGTAGATGAGTATTAATATATGACCTTAAGAATCACACACAACGTTATTATATGATGTGTCTTAGTGAATACTAGCATACTGGCTTATTTGCTAAAGGAGGGAAAGCTCTGGTTTTTTTTTTGGCTGCTTAGAAAATAGGTGGCTTTAACATCCTGGTACTGGTATTAGTGAGAGCTTTACCTGTATTCATACTGATTTGGGCATTAAATGCATTGTTAACACCATGTCAATCCAATCACAAAAAGGTTGTTTGTTTTGTTGGAAGGGCCTGAACAAACAAGGGGAAATAATGATTACCAGTGCCTCTACCTTTCAACCAGCAGTTCAAATACCACTTATTGTTTTAGCTCTTTGAGAGGAAATACTTCTCCTTTGTGTGAAGATAGTCATATATTCATTGCCAATGGAAACCTACATTTGATTCAAAAATCTGTTTTGTGTAGTTAATATATTTTCATCTGATGATGTAAATGCTGATAGAAATGTTTTCCTTGAGATGAAAGTGAATGCCAGAATTTAAGATTATAAATGATTACCTTAAATATATTTTGGAGTCTATCTTTACTCACAGGTCTTTGCTAGGAGAAATTTTTAACATATTTTTGATATATTAGAGATATGATCAAATGATTCTCAATAGTCTATGATCTCCAAGCTACTGTGACTGTCTCGCTCACATTGTTTTAGTTTGTTAGGACAGAGAAATTTCATACAACAGTAGATATTAGCATTCAGAGGCATTTTATAGATCACATATTTTAATATTTTTATATCAGTTGGAATGCTTTTAAGAAATAATTGTATCTTGTGATTAGTCTGTGGTTATAATCATGGTTTACATACCACTTAACCTGGCTACATATATGAAAGAATTATTTTATTTTAGCTCAGAAATATGATTAGCTGGCATGATTTACTAGCCTATCTTCAAGATATTACTGTGGGAAATAGAACGAAACACCATTATGAAAGTATAAATAAAGATGATCATAATTAAATACACCAGCTGAATACCACATGCTTGCTTTCTATTAACGTTGAACTACCATAAATTTTTTGTTTCGTTTTTCGTGGAGAAACGTATTTTAAGGAAAATTAATAGTGCTTAAAATAAATAATTCAATTAAAATTCAGAGCAATTTAGAAGTTTCTTGGCTTTTTATAAACAAATATGTATACTAATTGTTAGGACAGTATTACAGGAAGTACATTTGTTTTGAGGTTTTTGCATAATAAGTTAGCTTTGCATATGTAGTGCAGAAGTAATTTAATAAGATTTGGGCTGTCATAATCTATTGAAAATCACAAATTAATATATCTGCATAGCCCATTTATTTTATTTATTTTTCATTAAGCAATAATATTTACTCTTTAACTTTTATATAATATAGCTAAGTATATACTTCAGATGTTTATTGGTATACATTTAAGAGTTCTCTTTGAAAAAATTGAATCATGTATACATAAAATGGAAATAATTTGATTACTTTGTCATACTTAATAATAATGTTTCTCATTAATAACAAAATATTATTTTAGTTACTGTTAAATGTTTGATAGATGTTTTAAAAATATTTTTATAGCCTTCTAAATTGATTAAAATAACAGTGCTATTTAGTTTCTCTGGAACAAAACAATCTAATTTAAGCAGATATATCCAACCACTTAGTTACAAAAATGACACTAAATAAAAAAAATCCTGGTCTTTTTCAAAGTATAAATTTTTGATATATATTTTTTGCTTTTTAATGTTTTATATCTATCTTTTTTTAAAGGGATTCAAGATAGTTTACTTATAACAGAGAGAATTATTATTGTTATAATGTCAAAATAAAGAAATAATGAATTGCTTAAGAAAGCCATTGGTTTGAAACAACAAAAAATTGAATAACTGACCCATGGTGGGCTCTTGAACTTTTAAACATTTTCTCATTATTTATATATATATTATATATATATATATATATGATCATTAATAAGCTCATCTTCCTTCTGATCAGTGGGAAGTGCAGTCAGAAGTAAAACATAAGAAGAAAACGACCATGTCAATATGTTAACAGAAAGAGGACCACTATAGGACTGTTGTTATATGTAATTAATTCTTTGTTTCTTGTAATATGAACAAACAAATAACCTACATAAGCATGGAATCTACATAAGCATGGATGTTTGCTTTTCTCACTGCTCATTTTTGTATTTGAAATAAAAAGTATATTTGGTATAGTATGTTGTAAAATGCACACATATATAAGTATTATAATGTACTTTATTCCTTAGGCTATATAAAATGTAAAATTTATATATAAAGGCATTCACATAGTATTAGGCATGATAGCAAGAGAATTAAGAACAGTCTAACAATAAGAGAATTGTTAAATGTTTTGATACATTTATAATGGAGATATTGTATAATAATTAAAAACTTTTCTGAACAATATTTGATATGAGAAAATCTTCATACTCAATATTAAGTGACAGTAGTAGGGAAAAACTATATGCATAATATTATTTTATTAAAATAAACTATATATACACACATATATATGGATATTATATAAAATGAGTTGGATGTGGTTGCTCACGCCTATAATCCCAGCATTTTGGGAGGCCGAGGCATTAGGATTACTTGAGTTTAGGAGTTTGAGACCAGCCTAGACAGCATAGCAAGACCTTATCTCTACAAATAATAAGTCACTGGACATGGTGACATGTGCTTGTAGGCCTAGCTACTTGCAAGGCTTAGGGGTGACAGCATCACCTGAACCTAGGAGGTTGAGGCTGGAGCCATTGATTGTGCCACTGCACTCTAGTCTTTGCAAGAATGAAACCCCAACTAAAAATAAATAAGAAATAAAATGCGACACAAATTTTGATGGTCTTTAAGTGTAGCTATTAATGTTTCAGTGAACTGTTTCTTCCTTTTTCAGATATTCTACAATGAGCATGTATTAGATTTAGTATTAGAAAAAGTAAACATTACTTTTTGAAACTGCGATTTAAAAAAAATTGCTTGCACTCTGATCTTAAAATTTGAGACATTAAGACCATATAAACCAAAGTTTTACGAAACCCATATGATAGCTGTGATCCAGTCTTTTCATTTTACTTACGCCATTTTTCTAGTCTTTCAGTTTTCTCTCATATTTATGTTTATACCTTTATGTTTATTCTGTAACTTTTGTATATATTAGTCCAGCTTGTCTCCCAATCTGGTTGTATAATTTATAAGAATAATAATCTGGTACCATCAAAATCATATAAAACAAAAGATGCCTAGTTCTCTGTAGGCAGTTTGAAGTAACTGGGAATTCTGAAAGCCTTGGAATCTGATTGATCCAGGTTCAGATCACAACTTTGACACTTAATATTGACTATATACCTTTGTACAAGTTACTTAGCCTCTCTGGGTTTATTTTCTCTCACATGAATGTTAATTTTAAGTAATTTACCAGATTATTTTAAGGATTAGGCATTATGTATAAAAGTACCTAGTATATAACTAGTACTTAATAAATTATGTGTTAACATTGCTTTTATGTTTATTAAATTCTCAAACCTTTGATAACATCATTATTGCCAGAAATTGTGAAAAGGAAATTTTTGAAGAAATTCAAAATTTTTGAAGAAGTTACAAAAAAGTAATTTTTTTTGTTTAGCTTTTAATTAAAAGTTAATATTTTACTGTTAATAAATTTTGAAAGGGACCTATACTGAAAAATGGATTTAAAAATTTAGAAACAAAAGATTGAATTCTGAAGAAGCTTGCTGTTGAGAGATAGATATATAATAGCATTATTACATTTTAATAAAATGTGAAACCAAAATAAAAGAAATGGATTACAAAGGATTTGAGCTTTAATACAATGTGTACCTATGATAAACCTTCATGTAGACTGTTATTTAGCTTCACGTCTATTTCCTTTGCCCCTTCCTTCGGTGGTTTTTACATAATGTGAAAACTATCATTCTAATGTGATTTTATGAGTGTTTAAAACTCAGCTGTGGCCTCTATTTTGTCAAAATGTTCAGTGGTTGACCCATTTACCTTCTGCTCCTTTTCTAATATCACTATCATCATTGTCATCCTCAGCACCATCTTTGATAATGTTTATTAATCAAATAAATGTTTCATAGGAACTACGGTAATTTATTTACAAATCAGACAAGAAATATTCATTGAGGGCTTATTATGTACTAGGTACTGTGTTAGGCACTGAATTTACAACAGCAAATAAGACAGATTTGGGATTTTAGACAATTTTTTTTTTTACCTGTAATCACTTCTCAATCATAATATACCATGCATCTATAAGTAGTGGTTAAATGCTCAGACTTTGGATTCAGATCTTTGTTCTAATCTTTTTACAACTTATCATGTGCAATGACAGCCTCACCAAAGCATTGGTTAAAATCTACAATAGGTTGATGTGATGCTTGAGATAACATTTATGAAGTGCTTAACCCATAGAAGGCACCCAATAAAAGGTAATTATAATGATAAAATATGATGTGGTAACTATCTTGTTTTTTCAAAATTTCCTCCTCGAAGAGGGAATTTGTATTTCATTTTTTAGAAATAGTTTATTTTTTGTTATTTTTTAATTTCAGTAGCTTTTGGAGGTACAAATAGTTTTAGGTTACATGGCTGCATTGTACAGTGGTGAAGAAGTATAGACTTTAAGTGTCCCTACTACTCCTATGTGTACATTATACCTAACAGGTGATTTTTCATTTCCCTCCTTCTGAATCTCCAGTGTGTCCCTTATACCATTCTCCATACCTTTGCAGATCCTTAGTTTAGCTCCTACTTACAAGTGAGAACTAAAGCATTTTTATTTACTTGATTTGGTTCCCACTTTTTAGTTTAGTTTTTTTAATTAACCTTATTTTGGAAGTTTGAAGATATGAAAAGATTTTTAAAATTTCTACAAAAAAAGAAAATAAAGTAAAACTGTCTAATACGTAGGTCTTACTTAGTCTTAGGAAAAGCTGAAA